AGTAGGTCAAGGTCATTCATTTGAACAAACTTGGTAGCCATTCATGCCAGGATGCTACTGGCCCAATATCATGACCATGGGCCTCTTGGTTATTGAGAAGAAGTCGAAAATGTAAATTGTTTATGAATGGACGATGCACGATAAAGGACAAAAGGCGATCGCAATAGGTCTTGCTAAACCATGAATAATATAATTTTTGCTATTCTCCCATTAATACACTTTTTCATGTTATATCATACATTTTAAAAAACTTGACAACAACAAAAGTGATGACGTCTGTATTGGAAGATGGTAGGGTAGGGGGCTTTGTGCATAAACAGCTTCATGAATTTATGCAAAGCATACATTTTTTTGGGTATAACCCAAAAATGTAATCTTGGTTATTTCCTAAACACCTAAAACTTACAAATATTGTTTGCACAATTTTTTTTTTAATCTTAAAATATTTTATATTTTTTCAAATCTTCAAAACTATAAAACTATTTTTGGAAACAACTTAAAAGTACCCTACACACTTTTACCTATAAAATATGATCAGAATATATAACATCAAATAACTTTCCTTTTTACGTATATTACCATCAAACCATGATATCTTTGCAGAAGTCATGCTTGAAAACACAAACGCAAATTAAACTAAGGTCAATATTACCATCAAAAACTGTTAAAACATTAATGGGTTAAGATTACCTCATTGCCTGTACCTCTCCAGGCCTTCTACGGTTGTACGTAATCAAATTAGATTCTACAAGGACAACAGCTTTTCTGTAGTTGTCATAAGATGTATCAGCCGTATCGAATGCCTCCATTTCTCTTTTTATATATGATGCGAGTTTTTCGATGTCCTTTGGCAGGGGGAGGAGATTTTCTTTGTTGTTCTTGCGTTCATGCAGTAAGACACGTGACAGTTTGGTGGTCCACTCTATTTCCATGAGCTTTAGGAAATCTTTAGCAGCCTTTCGATTTTCTTCATCGCCATTCTTGATGGCCTTCGCCAACTTAATGTTGCCGACCCTCTTCAAGTCATACGAAAGCTTAATGGCATTCGAGGGGGCTTCAAGATTTTCTTCATCATCACTGTCCTGTCTGGCAACTTTCAAAGCGGCTCGTGCCACATGAGTGAAGAACATTGGATGTAGATAGTTTTCAAGATGATTTCCAGTTTCCGGAGTTGCCATGATCCGAAGTTGAATGAGCAGCCTACTTGCCAGACGCATCACTGCAGAAACATAGTACTTCCTCATTAGCTTGTTTCCTATGTTTCTAGTAAGCCACTGATTACCAAGGGCTATAATCAAACTGTCAGCTTTTGCAATCTTTCCAACCTTATCATCAAGCATTATGGAGAAGACTTCTTTTACCAATGCTTGACTTGCTTGTTCTGTGACCCTTCCTGCCAGAACAGCACTCTGCATCAAAAGGCTCCCTTTTGAAACATGTACAGATGAGTTCTTATTCACAGGACAGTGTGTTTGATGCCTGTCCAAAACACTCAATCGAAGCCACCCAAAGCAGTTGGGACATGGCCCATATTTTGTTACATCAAATTGTTCTTTTCCACTTCGTCGTGCTAAAAGAATCTCTCCTTTCTTTTGTTTTATGACATTTTCATTGTGAATATTACTTCCTTTACTGCGCAATACTGCCAACAAAGTTTTACGGTGTTTGCCTTTTAGGGCCAAGACTTTTTTCACTTCTGGCTCATTGTAGTGTTTTTTGGAAAAGATATGCTGGGCAAAACTGGAACACATCTGTCTACAAAAAGGGCAGCAACATTTCGAATTATACACACGATCAGACCGTTTAGCCTTTCCTCTCTTTGTGGTTGTTGAATGCATGATCCTTCTGACAAATATAGATTTGTTCTGAACATCACGATTTATTTCCTCCTCATCATAATCGCTGTCATCATTTTCCTCATCCGAACTTATGTTCTGTAATGAAATGGGTCCAGAACAAGGAATTTGACTAGGAATAATTTCAGAAATGTCCGAGTCACTATTGTCAACAATTTCACAACCAGTATCATTCTTTATTGTCATAACCCTTTTGCTTGGTTTCGCTTCTTCTTCATTTTCACTTTCAGAAAATGACCTTGACCTTTTTAGTTGGTACACCGAAGTTTCCGTCTCCATTTCAAAGTCGCTTTCAGACTCTTCAAAACTACTTGGAAGGTAGTCCTG